TCATAGATGAGGAAAAAGGCCCCAAGGGTTAATAGATTAACCCTTGTTAATTTATTTTTGATATGTTTGGACCTGCAGCTGACTTAGATCATAAATCAAATATAGCTATAATTTTTGCTTAAGTGAATCAATCAGCAAGATCTTTGTGAGTGTCTATCATGTGCCCAGGTTTGGAGATGTTCTACCACTCCACTGCACTCTCTCATCACTTGCTTTCTCTCAGTGTAGGAGAAAAGGGCAAGGAAGAATATCTGTGGATAAAATAGAAATAAAGGGGACTTCATCTTTTTTATATTCCAGTAATGTTTCATTTTTCTACCTTATTCTTTTCCCCCCAATCATTCTCCCTTAAGCAATGTATATTGGTCAGGATTTTTAAAATGAGCATAATACCATTTTGCCAGCTAGTCTTTATCTAAGCAAGACATAGATAGCTGGAGGTAATTTCAATCCATTTTGGAGAGAATGGCTGCCTGCCTTGGCACGCTTTTTATCCATAGTACCGTCAGGCTGTAGACAAATGCAGGACAAAGCATTTTCATTGTATTATGTGCAAGAGAAATAGAGCCAAAGTCATCTTAACTTTGTAATGAATAGCATTTTGTCAGAGTGAATATTTGGCTCATGGGAGGTTAAAGGAGAAACAGGACTAAAATGCGTTAATAGTCCAGAGACGAGCACAGTGAAATGAATGTATTGCTTTTAGTAGAGTCCCCAGTGGACAGTGTATAATGAAACTTGCTATCTGATAAGGCTGCCTTGCTGAGGAGACTCACTGGCAGGCAGGAGTAGCATAATGAATACCAGGCTGTCAGAACACCTAAGGTGACCCTCGCACCTGCAGCAGAGGTGACAGGGTTCTTCCCTGTCCGTGTGAACAGATATGCAGAATAAATGTGCAAAGGCTTCTGAGTGGGGAATGATGCAGGGTCATGGACCTATCAGTAGTGCTGCCCAAGCCCATCTATTTTCTAGATTGTTCATCAGACAATCAGGATAGACTGGACGTGAATGGGAAGCCCATAGCTAGATTGTACTTACTTTAGCCGTCCAACAAATCACATCAATTTGTTTCCTGGAGGGAGCATTTTGAGCAGACCCAGAGGCTCATGCAACATATTTAAAGGCCAAATTAATTTGGCATCTCTGATATCCGACCACTAGGCCACCCACTGAACAGAAGAAAACTGACTGGCAGGGAAGGACAAACAATGCTTGGGAAGTGATGTGTGAGGGGCTAATGCATTGTTGGGGGAGGAGCTTTTAGTTTTGGTGAGAATAAAAGGTTAAAATATTTTCACAGTCTCTAAGGTGGAGAAAAAGCCAAGACAGTCACATAGTATAAACAATGTCAAAACTAAGAAAATAAGAGTGAAAGGAGAGAAACAAAAACATCTGTCTAAGCATAACACCAATGAGTACCAACAGAGAGGAAGGGACAAATCCATTTGTCACTTTCTTTTCATCCCTTAGAGGCATATCTTGAAGTTTCCATCCCATTATTCACCCTTTTTGTATATGCTCAATATTAAATCATTTCATTGGCTTATCATATGTTACTGCTGCCTGAGGATAGAGATAGTGTTACGGAGGGAGTAGAAACGATGTAACTACTTTGGAAAATAATTTGGCATTATTGTCTAACACTGCACCTTAGAATACTCTAATAGCTAGCAATTTTATTGCTTGGTATATACTCAAGGTTTCATATATACAACCTGGGATTTGTATTAGAATGGTCATAATACTAAAACCTGGAAACAAATGCCCATCACAGAAGAGAATAAACAAACAGCAGATTCACATAATTGAACACAGTCAAAAGGTCATCAAATAAGCCACAACCATTTTACAACACTATGGGTAAAATCTCTGCAAGACAGTATTGAGTGGAAAAAAAACAATACCCATTGTCTTAGTCTGCTTTGTATTTCTATAGCCAAATACCTGAGGCTGGTTACTTTATAAAGTAAGGAGGTCTATTTGGTTCACGATTCTGGTGCCTGGATGGTCCAAACAGCATGGTGCTGGTGTTCTCGGTGAGAGCTCCTTTGGCTATGTTGAAACAGAGAAATGGAAAAGGAATCAGTCATTTGCAGACAAGACCAAACACATAGTGCTTTTTAATGACCCACTCTTGTGAGAACTAATTGAGTCCTGAAGAACTGCATTAATCTCTGTAAGGGTGGTGAGCCCCAATCTAGTAACTTTCCACTAGGCCCCATCTCTTAAGGATGTAGTTGCATATAGGTTGTCAGGTTACTCTTGTTTTTTATTTCAGGTAGTCAACTTGCTAAAGATAAATGATCAAATAATAAATAAATAGAAGTGGGCCATGTATGAGCTGGTGATAGAGTGTATCGAAGAGTTATAATAAGGAATCTAATCTGAGAGCCTTAGATTAAAAGAGAAAGTTTTAAAAAAAAGGAAAAAATTATGCTGGCCTCAGAAACCTTCATTTAGTACTTGGTGTTAAAATTCTGTTTAACAGAATTTCAGAGCTATGATGATGGAATAAAATATTTGAGTCTAATTAGGCTCCATGGTGATAACGATATTCATAATTAGTACTTCACACAGTGTGGTTCTCACCTGCTGGTTCAAGTTTGCAAGTCTTGAATTGAGCAGTGACATAGTTTGCATGAAGAAATTAATTTTCTTCTGAATATCCCAACATTTATTTTTCAACATTGTTCAATGAAAATATCAAATATATAGCAAAGTTGAAAGAATTTTACAATGAATGTTCATTTACCTAGATTCTACATTAGCATTTTGCTTATTTTGTTACATACTCATACATCTTTCTATACAGCCATCAATCCATCTTTTGCTTTTTTATTGCACTTCAAAGTAAATTGCAAATACTGGTATATTTTCTCCAGCAATCATATCTTTAACTAGACCCAATATTTATTTTCATTAAATTTTTAGAGGACTATTAGTGAAGAAAAAAATCAAAGCATTTCTTGGGAAAGAAAATTAGTGTCAAGTGGATTTGAAACTGAAAGCCTTAAAAAGAATGTAGTAGAGGAAAAACTCTTAAATAAACTAGCTTCAGCATCTGAAGAGCAGCATGACAAAGGGACAGAGTGCTGTTCTGTCAACAAAGGAAGACAATGGATCCTAAATGTGGCCCAAGAGAAACCTAAGCCAGAGCCAGGCAGCACAAAGTCCCTTCAGAACTGTAGAGAGGAAAAACAACCCCTTAAGCTCTAAAATGTCCACATGTCAAATTATGTGGCCCCATCACTAGCAGCCCCTGGAGCCTTCCTGGATGGTTACTGCGTGTGATCCTTCAGCTAGGAGAAGCCTGAGGTTTTACAGGTCAACACAATATACCTTGGCAAGGTAGTCTGTACCCCAGCATGACGTCATGATTATCTGACAAAGAATAAAAATGACAATAGCTATTTAGTTTCTAATAGAAATGGTAATTTGTTTAGAAGAGCATAAGGACTTAAAGCAGGGGTTGGCAATCTATGGCTGGCACTTCAATTCTGGCCCACAGGTTGTTTGTGTTAATAAAGTTTTATTGGAACACAGCCATGCACATTCATTTATGTTTCCTCTATGGCTGCATTTGCTGCATTTGTGATCAACAATGATGTTGAGTTGTACATTGGAGATCACATGGCTCACAAAGCCTGAAATAGTGACTCACTGGCTCTTTACAGAAAAATCTGTCACTTTCTCATTTAAAGGAGTGGTTTTCAGATAAGGTACCTTTTGATGGATTGGAGGAGAAGGTGGAACATTGTATTGAGGGTTTTTCAGGGTCTCCCGTGCACGTTTCCTTCCACACTTGTACTTCATCAACCAAAGTAACAGATTTCTTTTTACATTTTAGATTTCTGTTCACTTGAAGATGCCAGGAGTTAAGAGTAAAGCGAGCACAAAGTTTATTGAAAGGACAGCAAAGCTCCCTGCATGGGACAGACTTAGTGAAAAGCGCTAAGCCAAGGAATGGCTGAAGTCTAGGAATGATATAGGGCTCTGCCTGACTTAGGTCCTCCTATTCTACCTGAAAACTACATTTGTGATTAGATGTCATTTAGTTGACTTCTCACTGAACCTGACAACTTGGCTGGCTTAGCCCCTCCTCTTTGGACTGACAAAGTCACTTCTATCATTTGCTCCCCTCACAATCTATGTGAGGGCTGCAAAGCTGAATGGAATATAGTTTGTGCCTCTGGGGCATTACAGTTTAGTTGTAGAGAAAGAGAGGGGAGGAAGCGGAGCTACTTTGGATTCACAATAGAGGCAGTGTGGAAACAGGGAAGGCCTAGTTTGCCTAACTGGATTTTACAAGATAGCTGACTAGACAGAGGGTGAGAATCCAGGCAGGTAGAAACAGTGAATCTTTGGGGGTGGGAGGCAGTCACATTTTAGAGAGAACCATGGAGGGGTGAGGAGGAGTGTGTCTTGGCTGACACTCTAAGGGAAACCTATTCTGTTTTCTTGGGGCATGACAGTTCTGGAGATGGCTATGCCTAAAAGAAAAAAAAAAAAAAACCAAAAATGGTCACTTCTTCTGTCCATTGGCTTGACCCCACATTGCTAATCTCCATTTTAAGGGACCATAAGGTAGAAAAAGCTTTTTCCTGTAAAATGAGTCTGATTTTATACAACTCAGCAGGCAATAAGCAGTTTTCCATATCATTTTGTCAGAGACAGGCCAGTAATTTTAGGGTGGGAATGATCCATTTGCACGAGAGAATTTCCCTACTGCACAAAGTATTCCCTAGCAATTGTGGCCTCACGGAATGCCATTTATAGTTCCTACAATGGCAGGAAAATTGACCCCACATTGCTAATCTCCATTTTAAGGACCATAAGGTAGAAAAAGCTTTTTCCTGTAAAATGAGTCTG